TGTGTGTGTGTGTGTGTGTGTGTGTTTTGGTATTTTTGAGACATGGCCTAGAACTCACTATGTAGATCAAGACCAGCCTGGCCTTGAGCTCACAGAGATCTGCCTGCCTCTGCCACCTAAATCCTGGGATTAAGTGTGTGGGTCTTACTGTAGCCCCAGCTGGCCTGGAACTCACTATGTAGACTAGGCTGACCTCGAACTCACAGAGGTCCTCCTACCTCTGCTTCCCAAGTGCTGGGATTAAAGGCGTGCACCACCAAGCCCAGCAGGGTCTTTTTGTTGTTGGCCATTGCATAAGCCAGGCTAACTGGTCTCAAGCTTACAGGGGTTCCCCTGTCTCCACCTCCCATTTCACCACAGGGGCACTGGAATTACAGATGTGCCCTACCGTGCATGACTTTATATAGTTCTGGGGAGTTGCACTCGGGTCCTCATAACAAGCACTTTGCCCACTGAGCCATTTCCCCAGCTCTATATTATTTAAATTATACTCCATTTCATAATTGAATCTAAGCTACAAACAAGTTCTCTGTGGAAGGACAAAAATGCAGTTATTACCCCTTCCCTACCCTCTCAGAATCACAGACCCAGGGACAAGGAGAGAATCCCAGGAAGTTTCCTTTTTTTTATTTTTTATTTTTGTTTGGTTTTTGTTTGGTTTTTTTTTTTTTTTTTGTCTTTTTGAGACAGGGTCTCCCTAAGCCCCAGCTGTCCTGGCACTCACTGTGTAGACCAGGCTGGTCTGGTCTCAGTCTCATAGAGATCCACCTGCCTCTGCCTCTGCCTCTGCCTCCTGAGTGCCAGGACTAAAGGTGCACCACCAAGCCCAGCCTAATTTTTTGGTTTTTTGAAACAAGGTCTCTTGTAAACCCAGGCAGACCACAAACTCACGATGTAGAAGATGACTTCGATCTCCCAATCTTCCTTTCTCCTCCTCCCGAGTGCTGAGATTACCCTACTTCTAAGGGGAGTTTTGATGACACATGAGATATCTGACAAGGAGAAAGTCCCCTGTACTGGAAGAGTGTGGGGGCGTGGGGCATAGCCCCCCCACCCCAATGGATAGGGGCTAGAGCATAAGCTGGAAAGGAAGGGATTCTCAAATTTCACCCAACCCACACTCAAGGCATGCATTTTGTGGTGTACTCATCAGCAGAAGGGAGACTCTGGCAACAGGCATGAAGGTGCAGGAAATCCAGCCTGGGAAGACAGACCAGAGTCCCTGGGCCAGGGACAGGCCTAACACAGTCCTGGAAAACCTCCAAAAAGGACAAGACTGAAGAGATGGGGTGGCAGCTGCCTGGACACAGGCCCATCAAGGGAGGAGTCAGGATGAATCAGAATACCTCCCCCAGTCTGAAGAATGGCAATGCCATTATTAGAAAGTGGAAAATAGGAGAGTGAGCTATTTGTGATCATCTTTCCAGTCCCTCCCAGCCAGCAGACTACCCTACCCCTACCCCAGTGTGGCCTGAGGCTGCCTCCAGCACCTTCTCCCTGAAGCCCAGCCTCAGCAGCTCAGATGCCTGCAGTAGCTCTCCATAACTAGTAGTTTGTTGCTTGGAAAGCTATGTCACCTGTGCCTCCAGCCCTTGCCACCCTTGTCTTTTGCTAGTTCCTCTTGCCAAGAACCCCACTCCAGCCATTCTCCCAGGAGGCCTTGCCTCTGTACTTGTGCACCTCCCCTCCTCTCAGAATGACATATGACTTCTTTCTCCTCCTACAGCTCGACCAACTATTTGGTTGCTGCTATGACCTGAATCCTGTGTCCTCACAATTCAAGTGCTGCACCCCAATCCCCTGATGATGGTGTTTGAGGCTGTGTCTTTGGGAGGTAATTGGATATTGAGGCCCACTCTTCATGAGTGAAATTAGTACTGTTACGTCCAGATCTCACGACCCCCAATGACCACCAAGGAGTCCGGAGAGTATACAAAAGCAAAGAGCCTTTATTCGGGCTTAAGCTCGTGCCTTCAGAGTTCACCGACGCAGCGGATCTGTA